AGCTGACAAAACGGCTTTTTTTTTCATTTTGGCGCCAAAATCTTTTCTTTGCTAAGTCAAAAGCCTGATCAATTCAATTACCCTACTTTTAAAAAAAAATCAAAGTGAAACTGTGACTAGATTTTGAATAAATTTGAATTGAGATCTCGGAAGAACACTATTTTTCAATAGTTGCACTGACAACCTCCCCCCCCCCCCCCCCCCCCCCCCCCTCTTTTTCTCGAAACTGCTGTGAATTTTAAATAAAAGGTATTTTGTCAGTTTACGGCAGAGTACTGATACAAATAAAATATCTACACACAGGTATTGTCAAGTCTGATTTTTTTTTTTCTTCTCTAGAGACTGAGCGCTGTGTTTGGAATCCTGTTCCTGATTGGGCGCTTTATGTATGCTCAAGGGTACTATACATTTGGTGAGTCAGTCATCTGTCTCCGTGTTGCTCTTGTGTTTTAGTCGAGCTCTCTTGTGTCTGTAGTTTGTACTGGGATTGGTACTTAGTTGTAATGTGGGTGGGGGGGGATGCTAAAGATATTTTCCCCCACCAGGGCAGTGCTACTGATGAATTGTCTTTTGACCATTCCCAAATGAGGGATATTAACATGTTCTTATGCACAGTAGAATTGTAAATTGGCTGATTTTCAATGTCAGGCTCATGCATGTACTGTGCTGGAATAACAGAGGGGTTACTGCTGCTTTTTCTTTCCTCATCCTATCGTCACTTTTCCTCTACTTCTTTTGTATGTTTGACACTCTCTTGTGACTGGCTATTTCCAGGGTGCCTTGACAGTCAAAGCAGACTTTGTGCTGTTGAGGCTAGAGAGGTGAACAGAGTAAGCCTGATTCCCCGTTTGGACTTCTCTGACCCCTTGGCGCTCATATGACCTTATGCAGTTGTGAGCGCCGTATAAACCTTACTAAAACTAAAAACTAAAATTGTTCCTCTTTTGTAACACCTCTAATCTTCGGCACTCGTATGATCGAATGTGTTGCAAGGGCTGTAAAACTCTATACTAAAACTTAAGGCTGATGTTGCACAGATAAACAGATGCCTATGATGTATGTGGAAAACAAAAGGATAAAAAGAATGCAGCGTCTATTCAGTAGTTGTGCTGAATTGTAAGAATAAAGAAACATTGATTGTAATTCTGTGCTCTTTGTCTTGTGCCATCAGACTTTGAGTTTGTGTTTGGAATATTTTGGAAATGTTTCCATTCATTTTACTCTGATTATTTTTTCAGATCCAAGCAAGCGCAACAGAGGAGCCATCGCTTACATTGGCTTTTTTGGTTTATTTTTTAACACTATCTATTTCGCTCTGAATCTGCTTGGTGTTGTCTAAGTTGTTCTGCTGCGCCCATGGCAGTTACTTTGTTGGTGGATTGATTACTGTCATGGTGTTCAACTTCTTTTTTTCTTTTTTTTTTTGTTGTATTTGTGGGTTTTTTTACTTAGAGTATATTCTTATGGCAGCTGTCAGACAGTTGTCATCTATGCCTAGCTAGAATAGTTTATTATTAATACAATTTTTTTCTCTACCTATGTATCCTATATGCAAAGTGAACATTATGTTCTTCTGTTTCTAACATGAATCAAAATTGATAGTTTATGCTCACTGTGTCTACAAAACTATTTTATGGACCTAAACAGCTAGGAGAATAAGTATGAAATAGTCATCCTGACCTTGAAAGTGAATAGTTTCACTCTGTTGTGAAAAGAACTTCTCCAAAGAACAAATAATTTTGGGGGATTTTGTGTTTCGAAGCTAGAAAAGAAAGGAAAAAAGTATTTGTTTTCTGCATGTTGCAGTTTTCTTTTGTCTTCTTGTCTCTAAAATCCTGCAGTACTTTTTGTTTGAAAAGGCTTGATTTCATAATGTGGCCTAGCCTTTCTGTATCTACTTACAAGGGCTAACGTATGACTCTTAATTTTTGAGTGAAATATACCTGTTTACAAAAGACCTGTTTTTGCTTTCTTATGCTGCTGAGCTCTGGAAAAAAAATTTCTGTATTTGAAATTTAATTAGACTCTTATTTAAAACTTAATTCATGGAAGGGATTGAACGGAACCATCAAATCACATGTGAATTCCGTTTGTGTACTGTATACTCCTTTACTGTAATTTAGTTATTATGTCGTTCATGCTTGGTAGGTTTCATATTTTAACAAAGCATTTTTGTGTATTAGGTTGGTGATCTAAGTAATAATTTACCTCTGCCTCGTATTCAAAATTTCCCTATGTGTGGTGTTCTTTATGCCCGTGTTTTGTTGTCAAAGCGGCTGTGTCATTTTTGTGACCTTTTGGCACTTGAATTCTTCGCTAAATAAATATTGCCTCAAGGCCATGACCTTCGCTGTCTGTCCATTGCCCGGTTGACTGTAATGTTTCTCTTCCCCCGAACTTTGACCTGTATAGTTCTAATAATCGGAATTTAATTTAAACAATTAACACAAGTATTATTTACCTTGATATTTTTTTGATTAAAAAAAATATTTTATTAAAATTTTGCTTTGTGTGTTAAGTTCCATTTTGAGTTGACATTAAAGATGGTTCCAGTAGGGAACGGGATAGCAGGTGCCCACATCCCTCGTGACTCATCAGAGCAGAGGAAGATAGGACTAACGCTAACCTATTTTTTAAAAACCTCAACTAACAAAAGCATGTCTTCTCAATAATCATTTACATAAAACACTATCCCACATCATCACTTATCACCACCATCATATCTAAAATCATATTTGCTCTCAGATGCTTGACATACATCTATAATTATCTTGAATATCTATCTGTAACAATTACATGTTATAACAATAATTATGCAGTGCGTGTCGCTTTCAACGAGGTTGCCGGGACCGGCTTGTTGTTTTCGTTGGATCCGACCTCTCGTTATACGTGACTAAGGCTAAAGAAAAGAAAGGACACATGTTATTATACTTTATTTACACAATGTACCAATACCAGTAATTATACAGTTGTTCCCCCTAATGACGAAAATCTCAAACAGCATCAGTGTCGCGAGTTTGAGCTGTTTTCTGACGGTCATTTCTGCATTGTATTTTTTTACCGGAACACTTTTCACACTTCTCGTATGGAAACATACCCTCTCACATCTAGGCCTAGATCTACATAAAGTGAAGGCGGGAGCTTGGATGTTCTGATCAGGGGTAGAGAAGAAAATTGAAAAAAATGAAGGTCTCGATCTAGACCTACCCATCCAGAGTTCATCCAGTTTCCCACAGCCCCAAGGAGGTTATACAGTTGTTTTATGCTCCCTGCACAGCCTGCATAGCGTTCCCATCCACCCACTCCCATTCCTACCGTTGGCTGAACCTCACCCATCCTCTTGGCTTTGGACCCATATTAGGAGGCACACTAGATCTACCAATACAATGTGTTAAGAATCGAGGATGGGCCTTGTGCTTCGCGTGAGATGGAGAGAAAGGAGAACAAAAATTCGCTTTTGGGGCCCCTAATTGCTTTTATTTGGTTATCGCAACCTCGTTGAAAGCAACTTCTGTCTGTTTGCAACATCGTTTGAGCCGATTTACATTTACAAAAAGATACAGAGAAAAAAAAAATCGGGGATTAACGATTATCTCGTTGAACCAACTTCTCGTTGAATGTGACCTCGTTGAATGCGACACCCACTGTATACGTAATACACTATTGGACACTGTCATACGCACATTTTTCTACAAATCAGATGGCGTCAATATAATAATAGAAATGGACAAGGGACCCAAAAAAAAACGAAAGTTTTATTGTGGGTGATTGGCAGGTGCTCTGGTGTGGTTTGCTTCATCTTTCACAGCAAACATCTGTCGTCCTCCTCTCTCCTCCCTCATTTTTGTGTTCGTTTCTTCTTTTGTAACTCCTCTAATCGTCAGCACTCCTATGATCTTATTGTGTTGCAAGTGCCATAAAACTCTTACCAAAACAAATCTTTGCAATATCTGTGACCCATTTGTGTTGCAAGTGCTGCAAAACACTTTCTCTAAGTTTGGTCAACCTCTCAATTTTATGTTGTGGATAGGGTAGGTAACAACCAAAGGAATGATTTGGAGGAGATAATTGAGTTTTCTCCCCTTACTTACAAGATTTCAAACTTTTGGGGGCGAATGGTTGGCGGGTGTTCTACTGCGGTTCGTTCCTTCTTTCCTATTCTATCAAACATATTCTGTCATCCTTATTTCTCCTCCTTCTTTTCTTTGTATGTTACTCACCGGTAACACCTCTAATCTTCGGCTCTTATATAATCTATTTGTGTTGCTAGTGCAACAGACAGAAACAACAGAGGGAAAGTAAAGAAGTAGGACCTACCAGTAGCACCCTCCAACAACCCACAGTACGGTCTCTTCTGTCTCTCAAGTGACTTTTAATATTATATACATGTATTATATGAGTATGCTGGTCAAGTCTGTCCTAACTTCTCCGTGCTACTATTGTAGATTGTCTTAGACTGTCTCAGTCTTTCTCGGCGAACTAAGAGTGGGTGTATGACATGTGCTTTGGTGTAGTTTGCTCCCACTTTGGTATCAAACATCTATATTCCGTTTTATTGTCAAATTTCGGATTAGAAATTGTTTGGGATGGAAATTGTGTCCTTTTCATGTTGAGTATAGATTTTCTGTCATCCTTATCCCTCCCCCTTCTTTTATAAATGTGCAAGTTACTCTCTGGTAACACCTCTTATCCTCGGCACTTATACTTATATGACCTATTTTTGTTGTAAGTGCCGTAAAACCCTTGCTAAAACTATAAACAAATTTTGTTCGTGGGCTGCCTGAACGTGGTGTAGAAATTCTTGGCGAACTATGGCCGTCATGGTACAGCTAGTTGATCTCTGTCTTCAACTCCACTCCCAAAGTGCCTGCGTGAACTGGGCGTAGTGTGGATACAGCTCCATGGCCTGGAAGACACTGTGCCTGGACCACAGTTTAAGTGCCGTTCTAGTGAGAGTTGTACGGTACTTGCAACACAGTTAGGTCTTAAAAGTGCCGGAGATTAGAGATGTTACTAGTACTAGAGAGTAACTTGCTATACAAAGAAAAGGAGAAGGAGAGATGAGAACGATAGATATTTGAAAGGAAAGAAGGAGAGTACCACTCCAGATCATAGATTGAGCGTCGTTCTAAGAATGGTTTTACGGCCTTTGAAACACAATCAGGTCATATAAGTGCCAAAGACTAGGGGTTGTCACTAGAGAGTAACATACAAAGAAAAAGAGGAAAGATGAAAACAACAGACGTTTGATAGGAAAGAAGGAGAAAACCACACTAGAGCATTGTTTCAGCGTCATTCAACAAAAAGAGTTTTACGGCATTTGCAACACAATTGAGAGTAACTTACAAAGAAAAGAAGGACGAGGGATAAGAACGTTAGATATTTGATAGGACAACAAAAAAAAAGGAGCAAACCACTCCAGAGCACAGATTGAGTGTCACCGCAACAAACAGTTTCTGCCATGTCCGCACTCACGTCTCACTCCGACCCGACAATATGGCGGACGTCTTGATCTTCCGATCAGCCTGTAAACAAATTTAACCAGTTTTGATTGGTCGGCGCGGCCCTGCCAAGAGCGAGTCCGCAGACAGACACTAAGCTCGAGATTGTCATCTGTTTTCTTTTGTCCACACGGGCTGGTCAGAACGGCTGCGACTCGGCCGGCGCATTGTCCACCCGTGACAGGGTGTGAGCCGCCATTATTTGCTCGGGAAATTGCCGGTTATTATCATCATTAATATACGCATTCTCCACGACCACGGGGCCCGGATGCAGGTCGCGATATTTGAGCCCTGGGCGCGCGGAGTTTGCTCGTGGGGCGGGGCGCGACAAAAGCAGAGGGGGGGGGGCTTCCTTCACTCCAGCCAGATTTGTATCTATTTCTAATCCTTGGTTCCATTCAGCTTCTCAGTCTCTCAGACTTTTTCTCATTAATATGGTGTTCCTACACGTTTCTTCATCTTATATTATTTGAGATTGAAGGCTTTGAGTTTTTTGGGGCTTTTTTTCTCCCTCGTCTCCTGTTTCATTTGTGCGTGAGTGGATGATTCTGAGAGGCTTATATGACCTTAAGAAGTTGCGAGCGCCGTAAAACACTTACCCCCCCCCCCCCCCCAAAAATATAAAATAAAAAGTGAGCGGTGTTTGTGGTGTAGCTGTTAGGCGTTTCCTTCATCGTCGCAAGTAGAAGACTTGGGTTCGATTCGTTTGTGGGGAGAATGTTTATCGAGTATCACCGGGCTTTCTGATGGGATGTTGTATCTCTTTAAACCCGGGGTTGGTCCTGACAGGCAGGGTCGAAGCCTGCTTTCTAAAGGATCTAAATTGTATCATTTTTTTTAGGGGGTGGGGGCGTATGGAAGGGAGGGGGGGAAGGTGGTGAAAACACAAACGACAGAGAATTTTCTTCTCTAAAATTGTCTTCTGTCACATCCTTTCCTGCTCTCTAGCAATGTTCTGTAGTCTACTTTCGTCTTCACTGTCTCCCCCCACCCCCTCATCTCATTTGCCCCCACCTCTGGGCTCCAGACTCTTTCTGCAGCCTCTCAACTGCTACTCCTTGGCTGCTTCTTACTGCTGTCTTTCAGCCACACCCCTGATCTTATGGTCGGTAAGATTTACGGTACACCTAGTCTTCTCGGACGAGGGAGAAAAATCTCGAAGCAAAATTCAAAATTCCCTACCAATTAAAATTGTTTGGTGTGTTTCCGCGCATTCATATTATTATGACCTGGTGCTGTTTTGATCGCAGTCTGAGTAAAGCACTTCCCAAAAAAACACCAACAAACAAACGCGCACACACATGCACACACACACATGCACACCCACACACTCACTCACACACACAAACACACACACACACACAACTGTTGGTACCAGCGTGTGTAGTTTAGCGTTTGGACGCTTGGACGTGGCGGGCAGAGAATATGAGTAAGACGTCAGCCCGGGTCTGCCCTGACAGACAGCGTCGAAGAAGCCTGCCTCCTAAGTGATCTAAACTGTGACGATGGGGTCGTGAAACACCTACAAACAAACAAACATGCATACATACAGACAGACAGACAAACAATACTTACATACAAACAAACAATAAAAAACATACATACAAACAAACACTTAAAAAAAACTAACAGTAAAAAACAAACAAACATACATACATACAAACAAACAAACAATAAGAAACAAACAAACTAACAAGCAAACAAAGAAGCAAACAAAAACAAACACATTAATGAACATTACTCCAACAAACAAAAGTATTCGTGGTCTACCCTACCTTTCTGTGATGGTTTCCCGGGCAAGTTTTAGCTTTAGTAAGACTAACAGTTTTACGGCGCTCACAACTGCATAAGGTCATATTATATGAGCGCAGCTTGGGGCTGGGGGGGGGGGGCAGGGGGCAAGTTTTGCTGGAACTGTAACTGTAACATTTTTAATCAGTGAGCTGTAAATGTAATGAGGAACTAGCGTTAGAACAGAGCAATTCCCTTGCCTGCTTAT